AATATAAATATAAAAGATTATAGAAGAAATTAAAAAAAATCTAGACACATCTTTGATATTGTTTTCGATATTTCAATTATTATTATCTAAAATTTCCATGTGCAACGCACATGCACATCTACTAGTATTTTAATAATGCAAAGATTGTTTGGAAACTCAAGAAGCACAACAAATACTAGTTCTATTCTCTCTCCAAAACTACTAGGATCTGTGTGAAGAATTTTAGAATCTCAAAAACTATTCATTTCTATAATACTATTTTATTTTACCATTTTATTGATTAAATTATTTGTACATCAGAGAGGGTTTATTGGAGGAATTGTGAGAAGAGAAAGTGAGTTTGCTGCAAAAATAGTGTAAAGAAGGAGATATAAAGTGAAAGAGTAAAACAAATTATTTTTTGGATATTATTAAGTGCAGTTTGGTTGAAAATTTGAAAAAAAAACTCACATGCATTTAATTTACAATTGTTTTCTAAACATAATTGAATTTTCCAAATGTTGATGCTTGCTCATTTAATATGCAAAAAAAAAAAAGCCATGAATCCTTTTTATTTTCTTCCAAGGAAATATATGCTACTAGAAAGACATGATACATGTAGGGATGAGCATTTGGTTTATTCAGTTAAAAACAAAACTGAATAAACCAAAACCAAAATTTTTGGTTAAAATCGAATTTCAATAATACAATTTATATATATATATATTATCTATTATATATATATTATAACATATAATATATAATATATGATTATATATATTATGAAATGAAATTTTATTATATTATATATTATATATTAATATATGAATATATTATATATTATATAGCAAAGTTCGGTTAATTTGGTTTTTTCAATTAACCAAATTTATAATTCTAAAAATCAAAACCAAAGCTAAAATTTTTGGTTCAGTTTTTCAGTTTTAATCGGATAATGCTCACCTCTAAATACAAGAAGGGTTTTGACCAATCAAAACCAACCCCTCCCTTGAATTTTGACAAATATGACCCAATTGGTTACCACATTTATGATATCGATTCATTGGTTTCAAGTTTCTCTGGTGTCATATTTGAGCCATTTCCTCAAACATTATATTTATCTTTTATTAAATTAATTCCCCAATCAAATGAATGAATACTGAATTGATATAAAGTAAAATTTGGAGAGAATTAATACTTTGAATTATTTTTTTTGCCATCTAATATATAAAATATTTTGGTATGAATGAACTAGCAAATTTAATCGATTTATTCATTTTGAATATATTATTAGATATTTGAGGCCATGTTTGTTTGTATTCGTGCTTTGTACTTTCAACATCATGAAAGTACAAAGTACAGCGTATACTTTTGGCTTCATACTTTTTTCTTCAAAACCATTTGGATGAATTTTTTTTTTCAATAATATGTTTTTTCAAATTAAATGATGACGTTTGGATACAATAAATATTTTATATGTGTATATTCCACTTGGCATCATATATGGACACACATGGCATTTGAATGTAAGTCAATGATATTACATGCCATGTGGCAACATAAATGAACGCCACATGGCATTTGAAGGTAAATAAATGATATGACATGCTAGATGGTTGTATAGATGAATGGCACATAGCACACAATTGTCATTAGTTATGTTCAGATGCCACATGGCATTTGAATGTTGGACCAATGACATGTGGATGCTACATGACAGTATGACAGTATATAAGGATGCCACATTGTCACGGTCTGACACAGGCTTAGCCTTGCCTATGCTTGGCAGGCTTACGTTAAGGGACACCATCGTCATTTTTGCTTGTAAGATTTTTGGGAAAAGTGATGTTATCTTCAGGCAGACCACCAAAAGCTTAACGTACTCTTTGAGGAGGGGTGATGACCTCCTTAGGTGCCTAACCTTGGCACTCTTAGACCAACATCCTTTGCAGGGCGGCCCTGGTTAATGACTAGCATGGCTACCAAGGTTCCTCATGGGCGCACACATGCTCATGGGGACAGTGCATGGACCGGCACTGCGCTTCCGATACTCAATGGAGGCTTGGCATGCAGGACTGGCTCAAGTTTGTCCCTTCACCATGCCAACCCCTTACCCAAGCTGAATGAGCTATCCCGTTGCCCATAGTGCACGGGTGTGTTCCGGCCCAAGCGGTTGCATATCATCATTGGCACACAGGTGCCTACATCATCGGCATACAAGAGACCCATCACATCGGCACCTAGTCACCTCACATCTTGGCCTTTCCCTTTTAGCACGTAAGCGGCGCCTCCCATGAACTGGCCAGAGCCAGCCGAGTGCCCCGACCATGCGACTTGAAGTCATGATCCAGTGTTACTAACGTTGGTGGAGCCATCTCATCGGGCAACTCCTATCCTCTAAGCACACATCAGGCTTGTCCTGGACGCCGCACGGGTTTCTTCCGTTGCAGAACTACCCCCGTGACAACATGGCACCTGAAGTTAAGCCAATGATACTACGCCATTGAATACATTAATGTGTTTATGATACAATGTGGTGAGGTGATTAAGTATCATAGTGTGATTGGTTCACATGTTTTAGAAAGTATAAAGTTTTTTACAAGGCTAAAAGGCATGAAATTTTAAAAACTGACTTCGTGCTCTTTTGTATTTTTTGTACTTTTACTTTACATTTTTTAAAAGTAAAAAACACATTAAATAAATGCGTTCATGTACTTTGTATTCTCAAACTTTCAAAAATATAAAGAAAACTATGAAAAGTACTACCAAAGTGTGCCTAATACTCTTACATTAACTTTTGTCTCTAGATGGTCGTGTTAAATAGAATTTCTAATATAATAAATATAGCACTATATTAATACTAAAAATTGCTAATACACGTTTCATTTAATGACAGTTGAATTCATAAATCTTTTGGTGACTAATGAAAGAAGATTTTTTTAGGTAAAAAAAGGAAAAGTTACACAAGGCAAGGGGAAATATGACCCCTGAAATCATAAAAACAAATAAAATCTAAATACTACAAGGAAGATGAGACACATCCAAGCAACTAACAAATCTGGCTTCACGAGTAAGACTGTAAGACAATCTGTAACTTGGTTTGCTTCATGAAACTCATGATGAAAGACAACTCCATTCTCCAGCAACTTCTTTACATGCAGACAATCTTCGATGACATTTCTTAAGCCCCAAGGATCCAATTCTTCAATAAACAATCTATCACTAGTTTAAAATTACCCTCCACAATGATTGGATGATCTCTAAAGTTAAGAGTAAGTAAGGTCACATTCTTCTCACACTGCCTGATCTTCCGCCTAATTAATAGAAGCACATATTTTCTTAGCATCAAGGACTGACCTGAGGTGATCACACGCAATACAAGCAATAGAACGTTGACCATTTGATAGGTGCAATGCATCAAAGTTTATTTTGACTGTGCCATCAAGGGCGACAATCCGTTTGGCATCGATGCTGCAGTTGCAGTACTGTTTTTTGAGAAAACGGTGCTGCTGATGTGTGGCTTGGGGTGCTCTTATTTTTGTTTGGAACTGTTGCTGTCAGGTGGGACGTTTCCTGGAGCAACAACAACTTTTTCTATTTGGTACCATTGCTCTAGGAAACGTTTNNCCACATCACTGCCTTGTTGGCAGCAACGAGCCGCAACTCTAGAAAACGTCAAATTTGGCGTTGCTCCAAGCCATGACTTCCCGATTTTCGAGGCATGGCTTGGAGTACTGTTTTTTATGGAAAAATGGTTCCAAACAAATGCGTATTTCCTGGAGCACTGTTTTTTTCTGATGTGACACTGATGTGGCGCCGTTGCTCCAAAAAACGATAAGGATGCCAAACAGCCCGTTAATGGGTATTCAAGATTTATCTCCAAAATGGTCCCTAACTCAATAATTATAGCATAATTGAACTCCCCAAAAATAATTGAAGGTTTGGTAAGTTAGACTAGGATGGGGATTGACCTATTACTTAAGACTTTGGCATTGTTTAGTAAGTATTTTTAGAAAGATCTTCCCCAAGTGGCCAAAAGACATATTGAGCTATATATTAGGATCTTGTCTTTAAAGATCAAGTCCTTTTGGCAAAGTATCTTGTTCTATTATGGTCTATTGGGCTATTAAATGAAAGATTTTTGTAGAAAGATAAGGAAGCTTCCTAACTTTTTTGCCGTTTTGGGTTTTTGCAAACTTTCTAGGATGTAGGTATTCACCATTGTTGGTAGCACACTCTCCCATTGTAAGCAAAGCTCATAGAAAATTTATCATTCAAATTAAGCTTTTAGATCAACCTATCATCCTTGAGGATAAATAAAATGAAAACTATTTTAATTTTTTGCCATGAACTATAAACAACCATAATTCGAAGGTCAATGACCTCATACACCAAAAGGTTATAATTTTCAATTACCTTCTGCTTAGCATCCCCAATAAGAGTAAAGTCACCAACCCATTTGTTTCTCCAAAATTTTAATGTCTTTTGAGTACTTTTATCTTTAAAAAATGCAAGAGAAAAAAAGTGGGGTAAAAATGCTTACCACAAAAAAAGGTGAATTTTTAGAATTCATGGAGATGGGAGGTGAAAATGTTACAAATAATAGCATTTAGTTCACTAATTACTTTGAAAGTAGTATGACATGAATCTATGAGGGAAAAAAAAAAAAATTCTTTATGCGTATTGGCCAAAGCTAAGGTACCGGGGGGAATGGGTTGACATCCCCCAGAGGTACAATCTCATTGGGTTGAACATTTGCTAACTTTGAATGCACTAGGGCTTGGGTGTAGTTGAAACTCTTCTACTCATGCAACCTAATTATTTGCATCCTTATATCCATCATATATTTTCCTATAGCTCTATTTGTAATGCAAATTTGTACGGGTGTAAATGTATGAGTGCAAATGTACACGTTCGTTATAAAATTTCTTTCTTTCTAGTAAATGTACACGTTCGTTATAATATATAATTTATATATTATATTTTTTTAAAATCGAATTGTGGTTTTGATTTGAAGTTTTTAACCTAAAATCTTTCTCTTTCGGGCCTTTCCCTCTCTCAGTTCTCTTCTCTCACATCTGTTCTCTTTCATCTCTCTTCTTCTTCCCCAACAGACCGATGGCCTTCGGGCGAGCATCTCTACTCCTCGGCCATCCTCTCTACCTAGGTCGTCATTACCGCTAACATCTACATGCAGGCACATCCTCTCTACCTAGGTCGTCATTACCGCCAGGCCTTCCATCTCCTCAATGCTTCCTAGATCATCTTCCATGATCTCCGGTTTTGGTACCTTGCCATCAAATGTCTGGTACATTCTTCCCTCCATCACGCCTCAGATGCTAGGAGATTCGATTGAGCATTAGTTTTTTTACGAGTGCCCTTGATTGTTTCGTTAATTGAGATAGTAGGGTTTTAAAGCCGTTATAGGTTAACAATCAAGGTTATTTCTTTCTCTCATTGATAATGTTTATTTTCTATGTTGAAATAGTTGCATATTAGTGGAAGATTGGTGATTTAGAATCGATAGTCAGTACTTCTCTCTCTCAGTCACTTTCTCTCATCTCTCTTCTTCTTTCCTAACGGGCCAGACCAACCAATGGCCTCCGATTAGGGATTAGGGAAGGTTTTTCCCTTTTTTTTTTAATTTTGAGTTGCATAAAAAAAATCAAAAACCGAACCGTGGTTAACCGGTCCACCGATTAACCGATCGATCGGTTAACCTATTGTATCAATTCGAATACTTGAAAAACCAAACAGGTCGGTTCGGTTCAAAAAATAACCCTACCGTTCCGTTAACTGAATCGTGAGCACTCCTGATTGATTCACCGTCTAGATAGGAAAATAGATTTGCTTTTGGATCAGTTTTAAATTATATATTTCATCTACATTATATACATAATTTTTAATTATCATATTTAATTATTGTTTGACATAATTATTATATAATTTTTCATATTCTTTTGATTACTTGTACTTTTTATTTTTTAAAGATTTATTATTTAACTATCATATCATTGATTAATTCATTTGACCCAAACCACTAACCCACCTTACCAAAAAGGAAAATAGTTTGATTTCTAGGTTGGTTTTAACTTTTGTATTACATTTTTATCATTGACAAAATTATTTTTTATGTATAATTCACATTTTTGTTCAATATAATGAATGTATAATATTAGAGATATACCCAATATTTTTTATTTTGGATAAATTTCTTAAAGTACCCCTATAATTTAGGAAATTGACTAACCATAGGAATATATATTTATGTGAAGATGACGAAGAAGGTGAGAACTGTAACTTCAATGAAGCGGTTTCACTCGTGAACAATAGGGATTACTACAAGTGCCACAACTTTCCCAAAGCTCTATGGAACAAGGCAAAGGAGCCGAGATGAACCCTGATCCATGGGATTCTGCAATGTGCCATAGAATTTCATCACCTCTTTAACCAGAATCATAGAGGAGCAATGATGGAACTGGGAGAGGGTTTGTGTAAGCTTCAGAAGATGAACTTTACAAGTGGTCCTTTTCATCAGTTTGAGTAGGAGATTTCTGTAGTTTTGGATTTTATATACTAGACTCAGTTAGAGTTAGTTGCCTGCCTACACTGATGATTTTGCATCACAATGGATGGCTCAGAGCAGTCATATCAACTTTTATCAGCCTGTGCTGATGATTTTTGTGGACAAAGATGTCATGGATCATCTTACAGTTCTCAGAGGTCCTACAAAAGGTATCAATGTTTATTCAACTATAAGAATGGTTACGTGTAGAACAACTTTGCAGAGAATGACATGTTCTATCCAGAAGAAGGAGCTGAGTACATCCTAAAAGGGTCTGAGATAATAGAAGGTTGCACAGGTTAGTCTCCAACCACTTCCCTCACCGCCCCGTGTCTCCCTTTACTTTCTTAGCCCCAACAATCATTTTCCTTTGTTTGAAACCAAGAAGTTCCAATAGCTTCGAGTAAGCAACAAGCAGCAAAGGATAGAACTAAACGGTATAGAGCAAATTACAATGGCGGCGACAGTGACAGTGAGAGAGTGTGGAGCAAGTTACAGTTCTTGAAAATTTTCATCAATTGAGCTTTATTTTTAAAATTTGAGGAGTAGTGGAGAGAAAATTTAAAATTTTGTTTCTCCATTAATACTTAACAACGATGTGAATTGTCAAAAAACGTGGACTTACTTTAAGACAATATGTAGACAATAAACGTAGAGTTAGTCAATTTCCCAAATCATAGTGATACTTTAAGAAATTTGCGCTTTATTTTTTACAAATATATAACATTAGATATGTGTTAAAAAAATTCTCTATTTTTTATTTTTTCCATTCTTTATATTTTCCATTTTTTATAAAAATTATTATTTAACTATGACATCATTTTATTTCTAGGTTGATTTTAAATTTGAAATGCCATTTTCATCATTAATAAAAATACTTATTACACTTCATACTCATTTTTGTTTAATGTAATGAATACCAGTATTAGAGGTATACCCAATTCATTTTTTTTCTATATTTTATATTGTATTTATTTTAATTTTTTATTATGTAATTATGGCATTATTGATTATCCCATTTGATCACAAATGGTTGAAATGCTTACCCACCACCGGGAGAAAAGGAAATGGTTTTGTTTTCAAATTACTTTTCAAAATTTTTATTTTTATACTATTAAAATTAATGTTGTGGATTTAATTAATAGAATTTAATGATAAGAAAAATATATCTTAAATATAGGATTTAATGAGAGAATATACCTTAGACTTGAGATTTAATGAGAGAGAATATAAAAATAGTTTTATTTCCAAATGGGAAAATGGTTTAATTTCTTACCACCACCTAAATGAAAACAATATATTTTCTTGGTGGCCTTTATAAGTATAAATTTTTATGTTATTGGAATTATTGATTTATTATGTGTGAATTTAATTAGTGGACTTTAATGCTGAGAAGAAACGAAAATTACTTAAATATATGATTCAATGGGGGTGAATGAGAGTTAATACCTTAAATCTTTGATTTAATGAGAAGGAATTGAATGCACTCATTAATAGCATTCAAATTACATTTTCTACCCTTACAATAAATAGGGATCATATTTCAAAAAATGGGTATTTTAGTTAGAAAAGATTCCAAAAATTTTAGATTCTATTCGTACTTTGTATAGTAGTATAGATATACATATAGGTCTAGATTTTGATAAGTGAAAACAAGATGGCTTTGTTTCCAAAAACAAATCATGTTTTTAAAACCATCAAGTTATATTTTCTAAAACAAAAACAAAATTTTCACCCTTCAAAAATATGAAAACAAGAAATACATCCACAATCAAGAACATGTTTTTTTTTTTGGTTTTGAGAAACAATTTATTTTTAAACCATATGGTTTTGATTTGTTTTACACAGGCTGGTATTGGATTTTCAGTCCTTGGGGGTTGGGCTTGGGCCCAAGAATTTGGGCTTTTTATTTTTCAGGTTGGTCTCGGGCCTTGTCCTTAGGTAGGCAGAACCTAGCCCAAGTCGAGTCTGGCCCAACTATACACATTCATACATAAATATATAGATACATATTTACACATATACATACACATATGTATACATATTTGCATAAATGCATACATACATGTATAATTTTAGAGTGGGTTAATTGACAAACCCGATCCTAGCTCGGGCTTGAGCCTAACCCAAGTCCAATCAAATTGGGCTCGGGCTGAGAAGATCAGGTTTGACCTTGGGCTCAGGCCTTAGGACCAAATCTTAGGGTTGGGCCTGGGTTGACCATAAACTTGACCCAACTCGCTTGACTTGCACCCCTAGTTGGGGATACCCTTGTTGTGTGGCCCATCATGAAATCACCATTATCATCTAAGCCTTGTTGGGGTAGCTACATGAATCCTCTTTTGTCATTCTATTATGTTTAGTGCCATATCCATCATTATATTATTGGCACATGAATCTTTTTTTATTATTTCCACCGAAGTCCTTCTCAGCATGCCCCTAGCTTTTATAGTCCCTTGAACAATTACCACAATCCATATTTCTTCCTAAACCTCCTCCTAAACTATCTCTCCTCCTCACTCAAAGCCTAAAGCCCTGCAGACAAGAGGCTTCCTCTTTTAAAAGTTGTAAAGAGTGCCTCATTAAATTTGGTTAGGCTTAGGCACTTTCAAAACCTTGTTTCCTTGTTCAAATTAGAAGGTTAGCTAATGCCCTTAGGGCTCTACTTGTTTTGGGTGCAAAGTTGGTTAGGTTTTTCACTAAGATTTGCACAGGCCTTGTTTGGTTTATAAAGAGTAATTCATTATAAGTTTTTACTATCGTTTGTTTGGTTGACATAAAAAAGATAGCCTTGCTGCCAAATCCGGAGATAATGACAGCTTTATCACTTCTGAGATGAAGAGGATGAGAGTCCCACCTACAAAGAATCAAAAAATGTCAGGGTCACCAGGATGTGGTCTAGGGTTCGAAAACTCCTACAGTCAAATTAGCTGAGGGTTCTGAGAAGGCCAAGGTATCATTAAACTAGAACCGTTAAAATGAGCAAGTGCACATGAGAGGCCATACCTAGGGCCATGGAGTCTCTTATATAGTAGTTTTGGAGTCGCCCACGAGGCAGCACAACGGGCACAGTGTAACGGCTATACTTGTCGAGAGCTGTGATTGTGGGAGTTAATGCGGAGACATACATCCATGCAGCCGAGTGTTATCTTGCCATAAATGCATTGGCAGGAAATACAGTGATACCCTTAGATGAGGCTGAGATGACGAAAATGCCCCTTAGAGCATGCCACATGTCGTCTGATGATGGAGCGGTCAATAACACCCATATCGGATATAACGAATGCATAGCAAAAGGTGTACAGCCTTTTTTTGGTCCGATCTTTTTTGATGGTTACACCAACCAAAAAATTGGCACAATGCAAAGTTGGTTAGGTTTTGGAGTGAGACATGTAGTTGCCTGTTTGGTTGTGTAACTTGTAAAGAGTTCAAACCTCTCTATAAGTTTAACGTTGTTTTATTGGTTGACATGCAAAAGATAGAACAAATGCAAAAGGGGTACAACTTTCTTGATAACTTCATCAACCAAAAAAAGTGTAGCCATTTCTGAACCAAATTTAGTAATAGGTTGCAAATTTTCCTTTAATTGTGTTGCAAGTACCAAAATGATTGCAAACTCTAACTAAATTTCTAATTTGCTTGAATCCAAACGAATGTCGTCTTACTAAAAAAAAATCAGATTAGGGGTGATTTTGGTAATTTTATAATTAATTTATCATAAAATATTTCGGTAATTTAATTTAATAGAAATTACTAAATTTTAATTTATCAAATAAATAAATAAATAAAATGTTGGTAAAGTAATTGTGCTAATCTGGTAATTAACTTTGGCAGTTTTTTTTTTTGGTAATTGAGTTTTTTGTCAATTAATTTTCATAATTTTGGAAAATTTGGTATTTTTGTAAATTAATAATGGTAATATTTCTGACCACTCCATTGCCACCCGATAATCTAATGGGGCTAGAAATCCCAACCCATGCCCTGCTCCACTCCAATCATTTCTATTTGCATGCCCAATATTTTTTTTTATTTTTTTTATTTGGAAACCTTCCTACAAATATGAGTTCAAATCAGCCCCCCACAATGTCCCACAGCACATCTCCGCCGTGCATTAATATTTAAATTTTAAAATATTAATTATTTATTGAATTTAATTATCCATATAATCATAATTTATACTATTGTTACATAATTTCATTATTAATTTTGTAATATATTAAATTATTATTTATTTGAATTTTATGTTATAATTATTTTTTTTACTTTAGAGAAATCTTTTAACTTTATTACATAATTCTGTTATTTTAACTATTTAAAATCTAGTTATGATAAATATTTAAATTATTTATTTGAATTTTATTTATTTAAAGATAAATACCAATAGTTTAATCTTCAATAATTATTGAAAATTTATAGCAAAAATACACAATTATTGAAAATATATTGGTAGTGAAAAATACAATAAGTACTAAAAATATATTAACTTAGTCAATAAATAGTATAATCTTAAATAATAGTTTAATCTCTAATAAATATTAATTAGCCAATAAGTTATAACAAAAATACAATAAGTACAATAAATTAAATTTAAAAAATTCAATAATAGTAGTTTAATCTCCAATGATTATTGGAAATTTCTGTTAAATAACAAAACAAAATAAATTTATAAATAATCATTGAAAATACATCTATCACGAAAACAATAAATAATTACTGAAATACAATAAATATTAATTTTAATATATATATAATTATATAATAAATACAAATTAAGAGTTTAAAATTATTATTAATAAATATTATTTTTTTGAAAGTTATTTTATTGAATTATTACTTGATATAAGTGAAATTAGTTATTTACAATATTATGTTATAATTATTTTTCTACTTTGAAGATTTTTTTTAAATTTATTACATAATTCTGTTATTTTAACTATTTAAAATCTAGTCATGATAAATATTTAAATAATCTATAAAATTATTTGAATTTTATTTATTTAAAGATATTACATATTATTAAATATTTTAAAAACATTTAAATTAATAATCCAGAAAAACATAATTTAAATTGTTAGTACATATATTTTATAAAAATATAAAATTATTTTTTGTGTTTTTAATAAATATTTTAAAGTTATTATATAATTTTGTTAGAGTTTAAATAATTCTTAACTTTTTTAATCCAAAGTTTTTTGAGATAGATATATATAAAAAGTAGGGGAGAGGATAAATAGGCATTGGAGATAATTTAGGAGAGAAATGCTCTACTAAATTAGAGATAATTTTGGAGATAAATTG